AAAAAAAAAAAAAAAAAAATTCCTACTCATTGTTCCAAACCCATTTCCAAAGACCTCTTCCTCCAGGAAGCCTGCCTCTCTGCCCCAACAGCAGAAACCTTGATCCCCCTGTAGGTCTCCCCCAGGCCCTATCTCTTCCTCAAACCAGGCCTGACACATAGGAATTTGGGGTAACTTGGTCTAGTTCTGTGTCCCCACCTGTGAGTACCTTCTACACGCCAAGATCTGGGTTAGTGTGTCCTGTGCATTCTCCCACCATGCCTGTGGACACACCCCTCAATCCTGCCATTTACACACAAACAGACTGAGGCCAAGTCACTCAAAGGGGAGAAGGAGATGAGTTGGCTGGCATGAGACATCCTCTCTGGTCCCTCCTCTCTGGTCCCTTGGGAAGCCCCATTTGAGCCTGACTCCCAGGCTGGTGAACATAAGTCATTTTCACATTTGTGGCTTTCCTGAACTCCCTGAATCCAAGGCACTTGATGAGGGAGAGTGACTTGGCCAAGGTCACCCAGCAGGAGGGGCTGAAGGAGGAAAGAGTGCCCAAAACCAGTCTCTACCAGCCAAGGCCCTAGGACAGGAGAGGCAGAACTATAGTAATTTTGTAACATTCGCACTGCCTCCGCGGCTCCCTGGGAACATTCTAAGATGCAGAATCTCAGGAAACTTTCAGGATAAGCTTGGGACATCTCGTTCTGTGATAAGCAATAAAATCCCAGGAAGCCCCCTCCAAGCTGTAGTTCTCACCCAGGGAAAGCTGATCTGGGGGAAGGGAAGAGCTGGACACTCATCCCTTTGGCCTTGGATGACCAAAGAAGGTAATGGTGAGACCTAGGATATGGTCTCAACCACCAGCATTTATTAATTGCCTACTATACTCCAAACCCTGGGCCAGATACAGTATCTACCTACCTCTACCCTCAACATCTTCCTCTAATGGGAAAGATGGATACTAAACAAATAATCGAGCTAGGCTCGGTGGCTCAGCCTGTAATCCCGCACCTTTGGGAGGCTGAGGTGAGTG